TGGGGTGTATGTTTGACACCCCTCATGTACATAATACCTGTGATGACAACAACAACACAAGACTCTTCTTCCTAGACAACCACCTGCCTTAAGTGATCACACTACAGTGTCGCAAAATATACTGAGTGTACTTTTTAGCCACCTTTATTAAGCAACCCCTGTTAAAAATAACTTTTGTGAGTCCCTGGAAAAAGTTGCTTAAGTTAGATTTTCATTTTATTGTGTTATTTTACTATACGGGCAATGAACGGATGTTTGAAAAAACAGATGTACTGGAAAAATCCATATTACCCAGCTCTCTCTTAACAAGAATTACCTATACAGTACTTAACACTGTTGGCAACTGTAAACCTATCATAGGCTTAAAATTCCTGATGAGTGGGCAAAATAAAAAAGACATTTTCTAAATGACGCGTCTATTGCAGCCAGCCTTGTAAAAGGAACCTTTTAGTGTCAGTAGATAATGAAAATACGTGTTACCTATGACTGAGTTAAAATGATGTCGTGACCTGGCAATTTCTATTCAGCGCTGACACATCCATGCACTGCACAGATCAGGATTGTTGTCGTGTAAATTTAATAGGATTCTTCATTCTATATTGTTGCTCGGCCAGGAAATGTAAGTCTAAGTTTCCTGCAAGTTGTGAATAGCAGCAGGGGGCCATGAATAGCTTGGAAACCTATATTTTTTCCATTTATTTTTAAATGCAAATTACACTAGTAAGTCAAAAAGATCACTTGTTAAAAATACATTCAGAATTAACAAATGCCAAAACAAAAAACCAAAAACCAAAAAAAAAGAAAAAAAAAAAAAAGGAAAAAACCCACACATTTTGGATTATAACTCTTGCCTTCTAAATATTTAGGTTATAACAAAAGCCCAGTCTAGAAAAATAACATTTTTTACTGGATTTGGAGGAGGATACCGCTGTACAATTCAAAAATGTCATCCAGATATTCTCACACTACTGTGCTCTAGACAGCTTCTAAAATCAATCTGCCCACTAATAATTTCATTTAGTAGTCAACAATCTTGAAATAATTTACAGTGGTGCTTTAACTGTAACTTAAGCAAGGACATGAATATTGATTTTATGTGTGTGTTTGTGTGTATGCAAGTGTGCATATATGTATCTTGCACATATATATATCTATAAACAACATATAAATACACTCGCTATCTATTTATTATAGTAAGACTTAGCACTTATAATTGCTTTATCATTTCTAAGTGCTGCACAAATTAATTAATCCTCACAATGAGTTTGTGGCAAGTATTATTATACCTATTTTATAGTCAAGGAAAGTGATACAGAGATAACACCAAACTCCTAAAGTTAGGACCCTAAATCCAAATATAGGTACCTAAATGTACTGCTTGACTTTCAAAAATGCTGGATAATCAATGCCAGACATGAGTGTTTATTCTTTTTTTTTCAAAATCAAGCCATTGTTTAGGTACCTAAATATTACAACTGGTCAAAATCTATTTTGAAGTACTTTTTTCCTTCAAAAATTTCAATTTCATAGATTTGTAATTTACAGGAAATTTTCTATGGGGAAAAACTTAAGAATTTTTTCTTCACTTTTTCTTTCCAATGGTTTTCCTCCCAGGTTTCGTGGTTTTTTTCAGTATAAATACTGAATACATACATACATGTATATTTAGGTATATGTATATATGCGTGTGTTTGTGTGTGTATTTATATATAGTATTATTATCAAAATGAAATGTTTCAATAGGCTTGGAACAATATATAACAGAAATTTAATTTGACAGGAAATTTCACACCTTCCTCCTGATTCAGAAGGAAAAAATGGAGGTGTCCAAATTCCTGCAGAATGGAATCCAGTCCTACTAAATACAGATTTAAGAAATAACTATTGGTATTCAGGTTGGAACATTTTTGATTAATGATCCAATCCAGCAGACTTAAACATTTGCAGGTTCAGAGCCAAAGGGACTTGCTTAAGGTCACAGAGAAAGCCAATGACAGGAACTAGGATTAGAATCAGAGGAATGACTAGTATTTTTGGCACCCTGGGGAGCAGAGCCTTGACTCTGAGGCAGGAGCAGCTCTGGAACAGAGGCAGGAAGGCTTCAGAAGCCATTGTCTACATTGGCGTGGACTGGGAGTTAGTGATCATAACACAACAGCTTGGGGGTACAGGCAGAGGGTTTGAGGGTGCTGCTAAATGCCATGCTGAGCAACAATATAAAATGCCAAATTCAGTGGCAGACTCCCTCTTCTGTCCCTCCACTACCTCTCATGAACCTACATCCACTGCTCCATGCTGCTGTGGGCCTCAGCTGCCGAAGTCTTGGGTCCCCTGCCTCTGTTCCAGAGTTCCTGCTTAGTTAAGCATCCAGAGTTCATGCCTTCCTTGCCCATTGCTAATTATACTACTGATTAGAACTCAAATTCCTGGCTTCATGTCCAATCCACTCCAGTGTGCTATTTTCTTCTATACATGTGTGTGTATCATGCATACATACAGATGTGTACACACATATACACACGTGCACGCACAAACACACACGTTTATAACTGAATAAATCTATGTATATTTCCTGAACCTGTCTTGCATCGTATTTTCAGTGGTGAATGCCTGCTTCTCTGTCGTTATACAGAGTTATTGTATGTGACACATTACAGTACATCCATGCAAACACAGCAAAGGGTATTGATTTCTATAAAAATGGGTAAGTAAACTTAGCACATAGGTTAATGTAACTTGGAAGTCATGGGAAGCTAGGAAAAGAGTCACCAGGTGATGCCTTGAGCTTTTCCAAGCACCAGACTTCACTCGTGCTCTCAGGTACATGTGGTTTTCATCTGCATGTGGCAGGTGTGTGCATTTGTTGATGCAGGTGTTGAAGAAAGAAACAATGACAATCCAAGTTCCTGAAAAGCCTGAGCAAAATATTTTTTTTCCTAATGAAAGCTGTCTAAGTGCTTGAAAATACAGATAAAATTCAGGACAGAACAAACTTTCTAGGATTTCAGAGTATTTCATATACACATTGACCTACTAGTAAAATTCCCAAAGGCATCTTGTTGCCGACTACATAACAGCACAGTTTTTGTTTCAGCCACAGTAATACAGGAAGATAAAATACACATTCTAACACACAACAGATCCCCCAAATATACCACAAAAAGATCTCCAATATTTCACCAACGCAGCTAGACCCTCCCCCCTACCCCAATTGAAACAAAAAAAAATATAGATAGATCCCTATGGTGCAGTTAGAAAAAAATGCTCACTTACATAGGATTTTTCAATTGAAATTAGATATAAAAGAGTAAACATAGTTAATACATATTCAGTTGGCCTCTGTTGATAGAAATCTGAAGATGTCTCTGTCATTAGTAAAAGACATATTTTCAGTTAGTTATAAAAGCACCTACAGTGCGATAAATACAAACAGTGGGGTAAGAAGCACTGTTTCTTCTGCTTATTTCCAGTAGGTTCACTTATTAGTTTATTGAGAGATTCCCTTTATCCCTTTCCCAAGCCCCAGCCCCCAAAAGAGCTCTCTTTTTTCAGTGTTATAAAGTGTTTTCTTGACCACTGTGGAGGCTCAATAGTAAAGCACTTCTCTGACAGCTGGCAGTTTTCTTACTCAGTCACTCTGGAGCTTGTGTGCAACAGAGTTTTATTCCCTGACACGGAAAAGAAAAGAAAGGAAAAGAAACTCACTGACTTAGAAATCTTTCAGAATTAACAGCAGCATGTTGAGCCTAAAGGAAGTTACTTCAGAAAGCCTGCACTGAGTTTCTCTGATGTGCAGCTTAGTTGGGTTAAGGCAAGTATGTACTGTACAGCCTTTAGGGCAAACAACTTGCTGTCTATTGACTTCTGTTACAAGGTCATCATGGTATTTTTAGTATTATATTGACTAAGGAGATTTGATGCTACTAGGAGTTTGAAAGGGTCTCAGAAAGAACTGAACTGGACAAGTTCGTTTCATAATTCAGCTAGGCAGGGATGAAGGTGGTAAAGGTAGGATAATGGCCAGAAGATGGCACCAATGCTTCTCTTGCTGAACCTTCCAAAAGCCTGGCAGTTACTCTGTGTATTCAGGAAATCCAAGATAGGGGTATCCAGCGCATCTTTGTCTGTACTTGTTAGAAAGAGAGGCCGAATGCTCCCTTTGTCTTTTGTCTCAGTGTACACTCAGTTTTTAACACAAAGTTTCTTTCTTTCTTTTTTTGCTCTTGGTAGAACATGGGGAGCCATTCTGAAACAAGATTCCCAGGTCCTTCAGCCCCCACACAGAAGTGACCATAATTACTTTGACCTAAAGGGGAGAGACAAGAAAAATGATATTTATAATTAACCAGGAGATAGACTGGTACACTTCACCCACTCTGCCCCAAACTTGTTCAGATAACCTTTCCAAAACACCCTTCTGGATAGGAAGCTCTGCCCTGCTGCTTTAATCTCTCCGGTTTTTATGGTCAGACAGTCTGTATATACATGTGAGAGTAGGAAGAAAGGTATGACAATGTCATCACGAGGAAACATCATCAAATTATTGGTACAGATTCTCTAAACAATTCCAGGTAGAACTATTTCATTATGTAATTCTCTCAGCCGGCTGACCTTGGAGGACCTGAGCAGTAGTAATTCAGCACAATGCTGCTGCCTTTATAACAGGCTATGAATTGGTGCACAGAACAGAGGAGCAGAAAAACAGGTGTTTTGTTAAGTCACTTACAAACAACGGTTCAAGGTCCTAGCTGAGAACACTATGGCTAAGCCTGCAGTATTAAAATCTACTCCTCTAGTCTAG